TGCACATGTTGTCCCAAACCAGATTTTCATTTTTTGAAAAGATTTCAATCATATTTCAAGAAATTTAAAAACATGAACAGTTCTCAACAAGTGTCTTAGCTGAAGGGAATAATACATTATTTATCGGCTTTAATATATGGGCCAAATTTTCTTACCAGGCCGATGACGATAACATTAAAAATGAACATATATCGGCCGATTCCGATATGCTGGCCGATATATCGTGCATCCCTAGTATTAAGTGAATTTATGGTTTAAAGAAGAATGAATATCTGCCAATCGAGTCAGAAACGTAATCTTATTTATATACTATATCATGTTTTGTGCGAAATGAAACCTTGTTTCCGTCCATTTTTTTGTCGCTGCTATTGAAGGACATAATGAGTGTTTTATAATCAGCGCATTAACGAACGCAGGAGGTCACACGGTTTATGTCTCTTATATTTCATCTTTTCATAAGTGAACCAGTGTTTGAGCTGCGGGAACAATGCGGCGTTTATCAGCACAGGTCTTGGTGTCAGCCAGATGGAAATAAGGCTTTGTGTGAGTGAGTTTGTCATGAGACATCAGTCATAGATGTGTTCACGCCTCGCTAAAGCTTTCAATCACACGCTCATCCGATTATCTGCATGCTTGAGCTGGCAAATTATTATTATTGTGTAAATTAGAGACGGGCGTCTTTCTTTCTCTCTGTCTGTCGATCTCTCTGACTGACGTGAAATGGAATCGGCTCATAAGACTGATGAAAGAGTGCGCAGATGACGAGGACTAGATGTACTGACTGGGCTGCACTCACCTGCTTCTAGACAACTACAAATTAACGTTTTTTTGCCACAAACTTTTATGTTGGCTTGACAAACCCTTGTGTGAAAATGTGAACATTGTCCTAACATGTTTTATCACGTTCTTAGCTTGTTTTAGCATTTACATAGAAGATTTTAGCATGAATTAGTATGTTGCTAGCATGATTTAACCTGTTGCTCGCATGAATTGGCATGTTGCTAACATTTTAACATGTTGCAAGCATGTATTAACATTTTGTTAGCATGAATTAGCATTTTGTTAACATGAATTTTCAATTTGCTAGCATGAATAAGCATTTTGCTAGCATAAATTAACACGTTGCTAGCATGAATTAGCATGTTGCTTGCTCTCTTTTGTAACGCCTTGAGTTTAAGGAAAGCAAGTTATAAATAAAATGCATTATTATTAATATTATTATTATAATTTAACACATTGCAAACATGTATTTAGCATGAATTAACATTATGCTAGCATAAAAAAGAATGTTGCTAGCATGAATTGGCATGTTGCTAACATGTTTTAACACATTGCAAGCATGTATTAGCTTTTTGTTAGTATGAATTAGCATTATGCTAGCATGAAAAAGCATGTTGCTAGCATGAATTGGCATGTTGCTAACATTTTAACATGTTGCAAGCATGTATTAGCATTTTGTTAGCATGAATTAGCATTTTGTTCAAATGAATTAGCAATTTGCTAGCATGAATTAGCATGTTGCTTGCATAAATTAACACGTCGCTAGCATGAATTAGCATGTTGCTAGCACGTTTTAGACATTTTGTTAATGTTGTTGATGTAGCATGTAGCAAACGTCTTTTGTTCTTCCTTCATTTTCTGGACCGTATGAATCTGACGAGTCACAATCAAGCCATCAGAGATATTAAACATCAGACATGACTGGTGTGAGCGACTGCACTGGCGAGTGTGTGTTACTGGTCTCCTGTTGTCTGGAGCTGTAGTCTTCAGTGCGCTCTGAGACGGAGGAGCATTAGATCATGTCCTCAGGATGGATCTCTCTCTCTCTCTCTCTCTCGAATGACCGTCTGCTGTTGTAAAGCATCACCTTTATAAACCCGCGGGCCTGTGTTTGGGGAGCAGAGTCTCGTCCCAGTATCCATCAGGGACGCTTCATATCTGTGGAAACGCTTCAGAAACGCAGCCGGTGTTTCAAAAGGAAGACGAATGTCGGCGCACATAATGGGAAAGAGAATAGACTGTGTTTCACACACTTTCAGATGATCGATCAACATCAAGAGCGCCACCTTCAGCGTCTCGCCACTATAAATGTTTTATTCCTTTACAATAAAACATTCTAAAAGAAGAAATCGCAGTATGATGGATCCAGCCGCGGTTTCCATGCTAATCCGTTTTTGTCCAATGGAGATCAACAAGGCGATTCTGTTTTAGGAAGGGTTTCTGTTTGTGCGATGTCAGTCACGGCTGGAGCTACAACACAAACACATTGATCATCTCACGTACTGATTATGTTCTTTGTTTCATGTCAAAAGAATTTAATGGGAGTTAGAATATCATTTATTGTAGCCGCGACCGTGGATAATTCACCTCAGATCTTTAAAATAAATAAAGGGAAATAAGAACGTTCAAATGCAGGTGAAGTCTATACACAGGTGATCTGAACTCTATACACACTAGGGCTGGGTAATAAATATCGATTTCTTGGTATTAATCGATTCTCATTTTTACGAACCGATATCGATTCTTAAATCTCAAGAATCGATTAGTCATCCTGTTTCATTTGAATGAATGGATCATTGTATCGCGGCTGCGCGCATCCAAAAAAATCGCAATAATCTTTGTCCTTTGTTACTATTGATATGAAACAAAGTCTCAATTGTCAAATTACGTCCATTTTCTTTAGAAATTCAAAAACATAAATAGCGTTTTGTCGCTGTGGCGTGAGATCGCTCTGGAGAAGCAGCAGCGCTGATCTCTCTTCCGGCTTAATAATACCAGTCACAGCGCCAAATAAACATGAATGAGCATCTGAAAGTGTGTTAAAGATAGAGGACAACTTATGCAAATCCGGATCATGTCACATTCAGCATTTCAACCGTGGAAAGACGTCAGTTAAACAGCTTGTAATCAATGTATCGTCATATTTACCTCAGAAAACCCACATAAACTCGTTAGTCAGCTAGAAAAAATAACTCTAGAGAGGAGCATTTTGCTAAATATATACACCATATTACATATGCATTATAATCTTAATGTTCTTCAATATTTAATGCATATTTGAATAAATCTGGCAAGTTTTTACGACAGCCACCATTTAAATGTTTATATTTCATATAATCTTCTTATTATAAAAATAAATAAAAGTGTAATTTAAGTGTTTGTATAGCTACAAAACAGTTCATTATTACCTTCATATTAGGCTAATGAAGCCCAACTAGACTCCCATAGTTTACAGCATTAGTTCAGAGATTTGATTCCCTTGAGAAAATTTGCCATTTATTGTAACTGATATCCAAAATAATCGATATTGAATCGAATCGTAATCAAAATCGAATCGAATTGTGAAATTTGTCTCAATACCCAGGCCTAATACGCAGGTGATGTGAAGGTAACGTGCAGCTGTACTGTAGTAAACCGTGAGCCAGCTCTCGTGACGCCCGCACCGGCTGACCCGAGTCCCGTTTGCTCTCGTACTTCAGTCCTCGTTGCGATGACAATCCTCTCTGAAAGGCCTGATGTTCTCATTCGGCTCAGACGACTCGTCTTCAGGGGCCATTGTCTGCTTAGCTGTAGGAAACCACCGAGGCGCAGAGACTGATGCGCTGGCTCCGGTGATGACGCACGTGATCCGCGTGTCTTTTGTGTGCCGAGAAGCTCCAGCGGCTCAGATGATCTCAGAACCATCCTGGGCTTAATGAGGCACTTACAATATCAGCCATCTAAACTTGCCACCATAAAACATGAAAATCCAGTGTGTGCTTGTGTGAAGTGACCAAAATCTCCAAGAAACTCTATTTAGGGATGTTCTCGTTTGTATATCTGGTATAAAAATTAAGTAATTAAAGGTTTTTAAATGCAGTAAGTTGTGTGTGATGGGTAGCTTCAGGATTGATTTTGTACAGTATAAAAACCATTATGTCTATGGAATGTCCCCATTTAGATAGCCAAGTAAGTGTGTGTGTGTGTGTGTGTAACAGTAATTCCCTGGTGATAGTGAGTGTGAATGTGCTGTATGACATTGAGAGAACCTCATCAGAACTGTGAAATCACTCACACACACACACACACACACACGCACAAACACACTCACACAGATGGATGTCACTCTTGTTCTCACCCACATGATTCTCTCTACAGTCAGAAAACAGATTCACGGCCCTTAACATCAGGAAAGATGCTTTTCTGTTCATCAAATGTGTGTTTTGCGGCCCTGATATACTTCAAGCTCTTGTGTAAAATGAGTTTGAAACACTGTTGCACCGTTGAATCATCCTGACTCCGCCCACATTTAGATTAATATGCAAATATGTGCTGCGCTCTTTCCTCTCGATAACAAAATAAACACTATAAAATATGAAAACGGCATCTGATCATGGAGACGCGAGTATGTTTGCAGCATCTCTGCGATTCAGTCACGTTTATTTATAAAGCACTTTATGCGATAGATTGCTTTAAAGCAGCAGCTTCACAGTATTAAACGTTTTTTTTGTGTCGAATTACAGCTTCAGTTTCTACTATAAAGCTGCTCTGTTTGAGTTTTTACTCACGTCTGACATTGACGGACTGAATAGAAGTCATTTATCTCAAAGAAGGCGGAGCCTCCAAGCCACACCTATTAGGTAATCACCGTATGAACCAATGGCAGTTCGAAGGTGTTTACAGAACACAGCTATTTTGTTTGAAATGCATCACGCCGTTCTTCAATTTAGCTTGCATTCGCTCTCTAATCGCGTAGAACGCTCACTTTCATCTCATTCTGACTCTGGCGTGTGTGTGTGTGTGTGTGTTGATTGTCTGTTATTTACCTGATCTATGATGCTGTGATCTTCCTTATCGCTCTCTTTTCTTTTCTTCCTGATGTCTTCTGTTTGTTTGTGTTTTCTTTCCTTATCTACTCATTCCATCGGTCTCACTCCTCTCGTTCTGTTATGTTCTGCCCCTCCCCTCCCACGCCCCCCCTCCCCTCATGCCCCTCCCCCTCTGTTCTGCCCCGGCCACAGAGGCCACGCCCCCTGTCCCGCCCCCTCAGCCTTCTCAGCCCCCGTTGCCCCGCACTTCCTCTTTGACTTACTCCTCTCCTCCCCCCCCAGTTACCCCGAGCTCAGGCGTCCTCCCTTCTGCTCCCCGTGACGTGGCCCCCGTCCTCGTGTCCAGTCGATTCGTGCGCCTCGGGTGGCGCCCCCCGGAGGAAACGCGCGGGACCATCCTGACGTACGGAGTCTTCTTCTCTGAGGAGGGAATCAACAGGTACGTGTTGTTCTGAGCCCTGAGGCACTCCAGTATCTAGATGATAACAGTGATGGGATAAACCATGTTTCTGAATGACAGACGCTAGTGATGACATGTAGATGGAGAAGAGAAGCGGTCCCAGCACTGAGCCCTGAGGCACTCCAGTAGCCAGATGATAACAGTGATGGATAAACCATGTTTCTGAATGACAGACGCTAGTGATGACATGTAGATGGAGAAGAGAAGCGGTCCCAGCACTGAGCCCTGAGGCACTCCAGTAGCTAGATGTTGTGATTTAGACATCTGTGTTTAGACATCTCCACAGAGAAACAAAGATTCAACCAATGATGTGAATAGAGTGTTATGGAATATTGTTCCTTGGTATATTGGGGTGTATATTGGGGTAATTCCTTGGGGTGTGACGTGAATATTGCTCATTTGTAATATATGAAACCTGTTTGAACAGTGTTATTGTTTCTCTGAGCATGTTTGCATGTGTGCCGCAGGGAGCGATCCATTAACGTGACGGAGCCCGAGAGTCTGCAGCTGACGGTCAGCAATCTCAGACCGGAGGCCACGTACTCCTTCAGAGTCGTCGCATTCAACGAGCAGGGGCCCGGAGAGAGTTCAGGGGCCATCCGACTGTCCACCCAGCCCGAGCGTGAGTCCCAGAGCTGTGTTTACAGCTGATCACTCAATGTTTGAAATGTCCTCATTTAGTTTCATCCTGACGTCACACAGGCTACGTTCACACGGTCAGTATTTGAGATCGACTACCATATTTACTACTTACAGGTCTCGAACTGTACAAAAATTCAACTTACACTAGCGTCTTGAATGTGCAACGAGAGTAAAGCCTATATTCTCTTACCATCAAACCAAAGCAACTGTAACCAAGTTGGCAACATCAATAAAACTCAAAGGTCTTATCAATTATGATTCGACAAGTGTCCAATCGAGCCATCAAAGTTCATTAACTGACAGCAGCGTTTCATATCTGTGTGGAGAGCAGAACATTTGAGTTGCGTGTAGAACACAAAACCGACGAGGGGAGGAGATCAGTGACTGTATCTAAAACCATCAGACGACCCACAGCTCATATCTCTCAAACATAGTTATATTGTGACTCAAATACAGAAATTAAAACCGTATTCTGCTGCTGTGTGAATGAGGCCATAGAAGAGCATTATAAGAGATGATGTTATATTATAAGTGGTGCTGAGACACACACACACACACACACTCCAGCTCTTACCCTTTCTAATGGAGAATGAGTGGCGAGATTGAGCCGTCTGACCTTTCCATCCAGATTCCAGCTCACAAACAGCCTGAAAGACTAACACACTTCCAACTCTTTCCTCTGTTGCTGAATTATAAATAGTATTCTAAATGTGGAACTGCTCTGCGTACGCACTCGCTCCTGTCACACGTGTTTCAGATGGTTATGCGGCAATTAGTAGCCAGTGGCGGTTTATGAGGAGAGGAATCACGAGTGTCTCTTCGGCTTGACAAACACACTCTTGCTGCAGCATCTGGATCAGTTGCAGATGTTTAGGAAAGAACATTACAATAGTTCAGTCTGAAGAGAACAAGAGTTTGTGTCATGAGTTGTGTAGCTCCTATAGGATGGACCTGATCCTCATAATGTTGAATAAAGCAAATCTGTAGTTCTAGCAATGTGGTCTGCAGTTCTGCAGTAACTCCCAATGAAGGGGAAAGACCAAAGAATTGCTATCCTGACTGTCCGAACTCTAGCAGAGTGGTATCCAACAAGCTCAGTGACTCGTCTGACACACTCTGTGAAAGTCAGGTCCATGTTATGTGATAAACTTCAACTGATCATCAGTCACAACTCCAAGGTTACTGGCTGTCCTGGATGGAGTTATGGATGACGAACCTATCTGAATGGAGAAGTTGTGATGAAGTGTTAAGTTGGCCGGAAGAGAAGCGGTCCCAGCACTGAGCCCTGAGGCACTCCAGTAGCTAGATGATAACAGTGATGGATAAACCATGTTTCTGAATGACAGACGCTAGTAATGACATGTAGATGGAGAAGAGAAGCGGTCCCAGCACTGAGCCCTGAGGCACTCCAGTATCTAGATGATAACAGTGATGGATAAACCATGTTTCTGAATGACAGACGCTAGTGAAGACATGTAGATCTGACTAAGACATGTCTGCCGGTGGGCGGCAGTGGCTCAGTGGTTCATGTGGATTGTCTACGAACCAAAAGGTTGGTGGTTCAATCCTCGGTTCCACCTGACCAAGTGTCGAGGTGTCCGTGAGCAAGACACCTAACCCCAGCTGCTCCCGACGAGCTGGCTGGCGCCTTGCATGGCTGACACCGCCGTCGGTGTATGAATGTGTGTGTGAATGGGTGAATGTGAGGCAAATGTAAAGCGCTTTGGTGGCCATTAGGTCTATGAAGGCGCTATATAAATGCAGTCCATTTACCATTTACCATTTAGATGGAGAAGAGAAGCGGTCCCAGCACTGAGCCCTGAGGCACTCCAGTATCTAGATGATAACAGTGATGGATAAACCATGTTTCTGAATGACAGACGCTAGTGAAGACATGTAGATGGAGAAGAGAAGCGGTCCCAGCACTGAACCCTGAGGCACTCCAGTATCTAGATGATAACAGTGATGGATAAAGATAGATAGATAGATAGAAAATTTATTAATCCCGGTAGGGAAACTGGTTTGCCACCAACCGTACAACCATAAACACAGTACACAACTAACAGACAAATAAATAAATAAATAAATATGCATTAAAAGAATGACAAAAACCTGATAAGACACAACTACAAGAAATATTCAATTTCACAGTGCAAAAATAATCAAACACTAACTCTATTAAAGGCCTGGATGTCACTCAATAATTAACAGTGTTCATTAAAATATCTGACTGCTGCTGGGACAAAAGATCTTCTCATCCGCTCACTAGAACACCGAGGCAGAACCAGTCGCTCACTGAAAGAGCTTCTGAGTCCCCTAAACAAATTGTGTAGTGGATGGCCTTCAAAAAGCAGGACAGTTTTCAATTTTGAATGTATCCTCTTCTCCACAGTAACCTCCAATGCATCTGGGTTAAGACCAATAACTGAACCAGCTCTCTTGATCAGTTTATTTATCCTATTTTTGTCCTCAACAGATATACTGCCCCCCCAGCAAAGTACAGCATAAAAAAGAACACTAGCTAAAATCCCTTGATAAAAAACATTTAAGAGCTTTGTGCTGATATTAAATGATCTTAGTTTTCTCAAAAAGAACAGTCTCGACTGAGCCTTCTTCATCACAACACTAGTGTTCTCTTTCCAGTTTAGTTTTTCATCCAAATTGTAAAATACTGCTAACCACTCTTTATACTTTCTGGTTCGGATTACTTGAACGGCTACAGGAGGTCCGGTTAGAACAGGATGTCTCACACCAGAGTAGTTTGGGTCTTTATTGTACAAAGGTCAGGCATGTAACCATGAATGCGACCATGTATGTGGTTCTGTAACAAACAATATACAGAATATGAATAAAATGAATTACAAATCACAGATCTACAACAGCTCTACAATTCTGGTATAAATATAATCAAGGATGTATTAAAGGGAATTAAAGAAATAAAGCAATGTGATAATATACATATATTTATAACTGTCTCGATTATTTTCCCACTGTATGTCTAACTCACGTAGTGCTAACATGCCCGTACATGTTCCCCGAGACCCAATTGAGGTCCACACAACATACAAATATATGTCCCTATACTTCTAACAATACGGGAGGATAACTTGCTATTTAAGTGACAATACAAAGGCAAACATAACCAACAATATGAACACTCCGATACAATGCTGCGACAGCCTATTCAAATCTCCCTCACGGATGCATCATGCGATAAATATGCAAATGTACTTACTATTAGCTGCACGCACACACATAATCTTTAAATCCTTGAATGACAGCACTTCGATCGAACTTAACTGCTATTTACAACTTTTATTCACTATAAACATGTCAGCACATCCTCTAGTCAGGCGATCTTGCTTATTAACTCTCCGTGCAACTTTTACGAGCAGTCCAACTCACGAACAGAGGCGGGGGAGATCGGAAGAGTCCATTTCAAAGGGGTGGCCTTTTCTACAGCCGCCCCCAAATTCACAACGTGAATTTGAACAACTAAAAGGCCATACTAAGTGTTGAGTTATCGATAAGTTACTCAGGAAGAGGCGGTAGACTGATGATCTTGGTTACCGGTCTTATGTAAGTTTTGTCCTTTACTTTGATCTCAGCTGATCTGACTCGGTTGTCATTCCCTGGATAGACCTGTGTTATCTTTCCCACTGGCCACAGTGCACGAGGTAGCTGCTGATCCACAATCATAACGATTTCGCCTACCCGTAGATTGTCCTTTTCTGACATCCATTTATGTCTGGCTTGAAGACTGGGTAAGTAATTGCGAATGAATTGCCTCCAAAAGTGATCAGCTAGTAGCTGACTGTGTCTCCATCTCCTTCTGCTAAGGAGTTCGGTATCCTGGTATGTCACTTGTGGAAGTGAGGCGTCCCGCCGCCCCATCAACAAGATGTTGGGTGTAACGGGATCTGGGTCAGCAATATCTGAAGATGCATAGCCAATCGGTTTAGCGTTCAGTAGACCCTCTATCTCAATGAGAACAGTCCTCAACACTTCTTCAGTTACAGTCTGTGCTCCGAGGATCACTTGCAGGGCTGTTTTCAGAGATCGAATCTCTCGCTCCCAGCATCCACCAAAGTGTGGTGCACTGGGTGGATTGAATGTGAACCTAATTTGCTGGCTTGCCAGTTGAGCCTGGAGTTCAGGCTGAAGAGCTGCGAAGGCATCACGAAGTTCCTTTTCTCCACCTTTGAAATTTGTTCCTTGATCTGAAAGGATTTCGAAGGGTTTACCTCGCCGAGCAATGAAGCGACGAAGGGCCATAAGGAATGAATCACTATCCAGACTTGCAAGAAGATCAATATGCACTGCACGGACGGTCATACACTTGAAAATGATCCCCCAACGTTTCTCATTTCTGCGTCCCACCTTTATGAGATAAGGGCCGAAGCAATCTATGCCAGTTGAATAGAAAACTGGCCGGTGAATCCTCAACCTTGCTGGTGGGAGGTCAGCCATTCTTGGGGGTTGCGGTTTAGCCCGCCATTTTTGGCATTCAGTGCACTGACGCTGGTGATGTCTGACTGCTGCTCGTCCCTTTAATACCCAGTATTTCCTCCTGAGCTCTGCAAATACCCTCTCCGGTCCAGGGTGATGCAAACGATCATCGTAATCTTTAATGACCAGCTTGGTTAATGGGTGACGTGGGTCAAGAACAATAGGATGAACAGTCTCTTCTTCTAATTCACTGATCTGTCGGAGACGACCGCCAACACGTATGAGATTGGTATCCGGGTCCAGATCAGGGGCTAGGCACAGCAGTCTACTGTTACTTGGTAAAGGTTTACCAGATTGCAGATGAGACACCTCTTCAGGAAAGGAATCTGCTTGGATCTGACGGAGGGCCTTGAGCTCAGCTTCTTTATATTCCTCTGCAGTCGCAACAGGAGGAAGGTTCTCATTGGATGGTTGCATAAGAGCCTTCAAGTAGTCTGTGAACGTGTGAAATTGCTGAGGATCTGGCAGTGG